TGGCTCGTAGCTGTCGACCATTTTCCAGTATGCACTGACGAACACGAATCAGTGTTTCGCATTACCTTTCACCAAGCGTTTATTGGTATACTGGCTATTGGCAGATACATGTTCAATGATAGGCTGTATTTTTCTGATGGAATGAGTACGACTGTCACAGTGACGTCTAAGCGATACCAGACAACGATAAACAAATTCATTGCACTAAAAATGACAGTAATGGGACATGATTACCAAACCTGGTTCAACGTTTGGTTAGTCGTCTGAATAGAGTCATCTGACGGAATGAAGAGAGTCTTCTGACTCGGATATATTGAGATGACTTTATTCGAGTCAAAAAAGCAGCAACATTTCATTGTCTTTTTAGTTTTCTGGGTCATGGTCTATTTGCATTGTTTGGCGCAACTGACCTATGTTTTTTTAATTTCGAAGAAAACTCTCCAAGCTGCAGGAAGACCTGACGATGAAAATGGCGACAATTTTTTTACGCCAAATTTGAACGACCTAATGATAACGCTCGTTGGTTGGTTTTGGTCTCCATTTACCTTCTCCTTTTGCTTGGTCCTCGATTTTCTTTTCGCAGTCGATTTCGTCCCATGCTCCAAACTCGGGAAGAGTTCCCCAAGAAAGGTGGCATCTTGAAGGGATTATTTGCTCTTCCTTTTGGTGTACAGGTTATTGGACACAAAAAAAATACTTTAAAGCTGTTATTTCTGCGTTTTTCACTAGGACGTCATTTTCATATTTTTGGCATCCTCAACTTAAAGAATGAAAGCAGAGTCCTTGTAACCTTGTAACAATTGTTTCTCCACAGGTAAATTTTTCTCTCACAGGTGCATTTCAGTGCTATTCTAACAACTTCAAAAATCATTCCATACTTGTTAAACGAAAACTGTACCCGTTATTTCGCGATGTCCGCATACGTAGATAAATTATTCCTGACCATTGAGGCCACTGACGTAAAATGAGTTTTTTTTCCCCCAACAAATGCTGCTGAAGTGAGCACATGTTAAAATTTCATATTATATCTCCAGTAGCTAGCTAGCGTTCCGAAGCCTTGATAATAACTCAACATAACCCTTTTACGTTGAGTTATTATCAAGGCCTCGGAACGGAACGAAAACCGGAACAAAACGATTTTGAATACTCTGGAATTTTGGTAATTTTATTCCATGCCGTTCCAAGTACCCAGGTGACGCAGGAAACATTTTTTCTAAACCAGATCGAACCCCTCCTGCAATGGGCAGCATTTCGGGACGAAGATGGTCTTCATGCTCCGTCCCATCCTTCAGGGATAAGAACCTCGAAGCGTGTTATTTTCATCTCAATGTTACTGGGAATTTCGTTCCGAAAATCTGGATAATCATGTTATTGAACCCCCGCAGCCTACCGCTGATGCACCAAGCTTCATCAGCAGCCGCTGTCAGTTACGAGAAAGAAAACCAAAGCCGTGCCTTGTGTAAGTCATAGTGAGAAAAGCAGATAAACAAGATAATAAGTGAAGGGGTTCGACGTGAGATAGCGAAAGTCGAAGAGGACTACATCGAGCATGGAGAAAGGCGCTCCTGACGGTCTTCTGAGGTTTCGTTCAAGTTACTTTTGCCGACGCAAGGCCCACTCAAGTTTAAAAGAAAGCGGAAGAGAAACGGAACTTCGATCTCTAGAGTTTCCTTCCGACGAAGGCTGGGATTAAGTCTGAAATAAATTGGAGCAACCTCTGAAGTTGGGTTCGCCAGTCATTAATTAAAAAAGACTAATCAAAACTATCTGCAAGGCCAGCCAAAAAGAGAAGAATTTAGGTGGTATAGAAGTAGGAAATGTCAGGATGAATCGCAAGCAGGAGCGATTGGGTCACGGCCACCACCAAAGCGAAATCTCTTGTTTAAAGTTCTTCTTGTGGTTTGTTAGAGTTCATCATAGGTCTTGCCTGGGAGCAATGAATTTTGACGAAATATCAAAGATGCCTTTAAAACATATCCATCTATGCCGTGTTTTGTAAAAACAGCTCCAGTGGGAACGGACGCATACTGACTAAAAACCGTTGGTCTTAGTTTATGCCCTACATCGTATACATTCTTGCCTCTGCAGTCATCGCACCGTCTCTTCGTCATCCTTTCTACCATAGCCACACACCTTATTCTTATCGTAGCAAGCAGGAAGAGCAAGGAGACGGAGCAGAGGGGGTGAGTGAGTTCAGAGCCAAATAAGGGCAGACAGTCTGGGAGTCGTCGCGTCCTTCGATGTCACGGCGACATAGTTCGCCCGCACTCATTTCCACAGAGAAGCACCCCCCTCCCCCAACCCCCTTTTCCGAGTCCCCAACGTTCTGGAACTTTCTGAGATTATCCTCCTATAAAGGTTTTAGTAACTTAGCTTAATTCCATTATTGAGATTGATAGATTCGAGATGCAAGCAATATTTTTCCCAGAGGCAGACGACTCCCAAGATTCTTATACTGTACTTGCCTTATCGCCAAGTCATTTCTCATGGTTCATTGATATGAAAAGATTTAAAAGTTGCCAGGTTTTGCCTTTGATGTCAGAGGTGAATCAATGCTAGATCGGAGGCTTAA